GAGGATTGTGGAATGTACATGTGCACAACACATCTCAAAGAACAACAGTTACTGTAAGGTAAGTAACCAGTATTTCTCCTCTCAGAGACTGTGCACATATACATATTAGGGCTGTAAAGCGATTAAAAAAAATTAATCGTGCTTAAACACACTGTTAAATAATAATAGAAATACCATTTATTTAAATATTTTTGATGTTTTTTACATTTTCAAATATATTGATTTAAATTACAACACAAAATACAAAGTGTACAGTGCGCACTTAATCTTATTACAAATATTTGCACTGTAGAAAACAAAAGAAATCGTATTTTTCAATACACCTAATACAAGTACTGTAATGCAATCTCTTTATCATGAAAGTTAAACGTACAAATGTAGAATTATGTACAAAAAATAACTGAGACAAAAAAAAACAATGTAAAACTTTAGAGCCTACAAGTCCACTCAGTCCTACTTCTTGTTCAGCCAATTGCTCAGACAAACAAGCTTGGTTTCAATTTGCAGAAGGTAACTGTGACATTCTGTACCTCGGGGTAACACCCCCAGTGTTCATCCTTATATGACTGTATAGTATCTAATGCAAAGGTGTCTTCGGAAGGCCCATGATGTACTGAGCATTGTTGTTATGGTAATGTTATAGTAATCGTTGTTATAGTAATGTTATAGGCTGTAATTTCATGTATATATTTATGAGGCTGAAAATGTGTCCTCATGGCTTAAAGCAAGTCCAGGCAAAAACTTTCCAGAACCAGAGGGGCAGTTCACACCTCATCAGGGCGCGTATGGGACAAACCCAGCACAGTCTCACAGGAATAAAGAACACTGGCCTTGGCAACAACAAAGGATCTGCTGGACTCTCAAGTGAATCACCCCCCTTCCTTTGGTCAGTTTGGGACTGCGATGAGATAATGCTCATCTGACTCTGAAGGGGGGTGAGAGCCCAGAGGGAAGAAAGAACATGATAAAAGGGAGAGACTTTGCTATGCTCTTCCTCTCTCTTCCACCTACATCTACAGACACCACACCAAGCGAAAGAAGCACTAATCAAAGGGGAGAGCCTGACTGAAGGGCAACCAGCCAGCCTGTGGTGAGAAGCATCAAAGCCCTGGTCTATACTATGGGGTTAGGTCGAATTTAACTGCGTTAGGTCGATTTAAAAATGAACGTGTCTACACAACCAACCCCATTCCATCGACCTAAAGGGCTCTTAAAATCAACAGCTGTACTCCTCCCTGGCAAGGGGAGTAGTGTTAAACTCGATCCTGCTGGGTCAAATTTGGGGTAGTGCAGACGCAAGTCAACGGTATTGGCCTCCAGGAGCTATCCCAGAGTGCTCCAATGTGACCACTCTGGACAGCACTTTCAACTCCGATGCACTAGCCAGGTACACAGGAAAAGCCACGGGAAATTTTGAATTTCGTTTCCTGTTTGGTCAGTGTGGCGAGCTCAGCAGGACAGGTGACCATGCAGTCCCCCCAGAATCGCAAACGAGCTCCAGAATGGACCGAAAGGGAGACACTGGATCTGATTGCTGTATGGGGAGAAGAAACCATGCAGGCAGAACTCCGATCAAAAAGAAGAAATGCTAATATATATAATATATATATATATATATGCCAAAATCGCACAGGGCATGATGGACAGAAGCTACAACAGGGACACAGAGCAGTGCCACGTGAAAGTCAAGGAGCTCAGGCAAGCCTACCAAAAGACAAAGGAGGCAAACAGTCACTCCGGGTCAGAGCCCCATACATGCTGCTTCTATGATCAGCTGCATGCCATTCTAGGGGGGGACCCCACCACTACCTCACCAGTGTCCATGGGGGGCAGGGGGAGTCTCACGTAACAGGGAGGAGGATTTTGTGGATGAAGAAGAGCAGGAGGAGGAAGAGGAGGAGAAGAATGAGCAGCAGGCAAGCAGTGAATCCGTTCTCCCCAGCAGCCAGGACCTTTTCATCACCTCCCTTTTCATCACCTTTTCAATACCCTCCCAAGGCAGGATCCCCGACCCTGAAGCCGGAGAAGGCACCTCTGGTGAGTGCTCATTTGTAACTACAGTACAGGGTTTAAAAGCAATAGTGTTTAATGTTTGATTTGTCCTGAAGAATTGGGATGCATTCACGGCCAGTACAGCTACTGGAAAAGTCTGTTAACGTGTCTGGGGATGGAGCAGGAATCCTCCAGGGACATCTCCATGAAGCTCACCTGGAGGTACTCTGAAAGCCCTTGCAGAAGGTTTCTGGGAGGGCTGCCTTATTTCGTCCTCCACAGTAGGACACTTTACCACGCCAAGCCAGTAGCAAGTAGTCTGGAATCATTGCAGCACAAAGCATGGCAGTGAATGGTCCTAGGTTTTGGTCGCATTCAAGCAACATTCGGTCTTTATCTTTCTGTGTTAGCCTCCGGAGAGTGATATCATTCATGGTCACCTGGTTGAAATGGGGGAATTTTTGTAAGGGAACAGTAAAAGGACCCCATTCATGCTGGGTTGTTTGCATTTGGCTGAAAGGGATCATCCCAGAGAATAGCCACGCGGAGTGGGAGGGGTAAAGGGATCATCCCAGAGAATAGCCACGCAGAGTGGGAGGGGTAAAGGGATCATCCCAGAGAATAGCCACACGGTGGGGTGGGGGGAGGTGTGTGCTGTACATCCACCCGAAAACCACAGCCCCTCCTTTTAAATGTGAAACCCAACCGGCATTGCTTGCTATGGGAAAGGATGGCGCTGCAGTTTGAAACCATTCCCACGTGTTATGAAGGCATAAGAAGCCAACCCCATGTACCAAAAGGCTTACCATGGCTGCCTGGAAACCAAATTCTGTTGTCCAGCCGTTTGTGATGCGTCACCATACTGGCAGGCGCTCAATATGAAAGGCAAAATGCGACCTTGTACCTAAAGCAAATGTGCTGTCTGCTGTGAATTGCTTGATTCACTGGGACAAGGAGTCTGAGGGCAGAGCATGGGATTAGAGCAGAGGTGGGCAAACTACGGCCCGCGGCACCGTCCTGCCTGGCCCCTGAGCTCCTGGCCTGGGAGGCTCACCCTCGGCTCCTCCCCCACTGTTCCCCCTCCCACGCAGCCATGCTGCCGCGCTGAGCGGCATAGTAAGGGGGTGGTGGTGGCGGCGCACACAGCAGTGAAAAACTTGGGTAGGAGGTTCTGGGGGGCAGTCAGGGGACAGGGAGTGGTTAGGGGCGGGAGGTTCCGGGGAGAAGTCAGGGGACAGGGGGCGGTTGGATGAGGCAGAGGTTCTGGGGAGTTGGATAGGGTGTGGGAGTCCCAGGGGCCTGTCAGGGGGCAAGGGTGTGGATAGGTCGGGGCAGTCAGGGATAAGGAGCAGGGGGGTTGGATGGGTCAGGCTTCTGAGGGGGACAGTCAGGGTGCAGGAAGTGGGAGGGGGCAAATAGGGGGCAGGGGACAGGCTTTTTTGGGGGCACAGGGACAGGCTTTTTTTCCCTACCCGGCCCTCCATACAGTTTTGCACCCCGATGTGGCCCTCAGGCCAAAAAGTTTGACCACCCTTGGATTAAAGGCTGGCACGGGGGCAGGGATTGGGACTGTGACTGGGCAAGGAGACTAGATCTGGGAGCAGGGTTGGGGTGAAGGTCGGTTAAGAATGGCTGCATAAGGAGACTGGGAGTGTCGGGAGACTGGGACTTGAATGAGGAGCCAGTGGTGGGGTAGAGACAGGAATGGGACAGAGAAGGTTGGAGTGAGTGGGGCAGAAGAGGTCAAGCTTGAAGGGAGAAGGTAGAAGAGGCTATAATCAACAAAGCACACTTGTCTCCAGAGGCTGGAATAGAACCCAAGTTCCTTGAGTTTCACCATTCCTCTACTGTCAGCAAATACCTGTGAAAGCCACTGGCTAAGTGTCCCATTCCCATCTAGTACTGGTCCACACAGAGGATAACAACCTTACTGTCATCAGCTACTCTGTTAATTCACATGGCAGAGGTCTGTGCAGTGTATCTAAAAGTTCCAACCCTGCTGGTGACCCATGTGGGTGTCAATATGATTCCACATGATGGGATTTCTGATTTTTCAGTTTGCCTTTTTAAAAAACCTGGATGATTACATGCAAAAAGCCACTTTAAAAATTATCACATCTTAATTTAAAAAATTATCAAAGTCAAGAACTCAAAAAGGTAGTAAATGCCAAAATTAAGGTTGCCTATGAAACCCCTGGTGCATATGCATGATGATATAGTCTTTATTTACACAATCACATACTAATTTTTCCAACCTTTTGAGAGGATGAATGAGTTCCCATAATCTTACAGTCCCCACCTTATTTGTTTCAGAAGTTGGAAGGTGTGCAGAGAATGGGGCAGGGGATTGCAGGAAGAGAGAGTACATTTACATGGTTATGATAATTGAATGCCACCCTGGAGAACTGGGTCCCACAGCAACCAGTTAATGGCTCTATGCTACTTAATATTTTTATCAATGATCTGAAAGAAAACAAAATGACTCAAAGATTGGGGGAGAGGTAAATAACGAAGAGGACAGATCAGTTGGTAAATTGGACACAAGCAAACGGTATGCATTTTAATACAGCCAAATGTAAAGTTATACATGTAGGAACAAAGAATATAGACCACAATTACAGGATGGGAGACTATGAAAAAGACCTAAGGCTTATGATGGATAATCAGCTGAACATGAGCTCCCAATGCAATGCTGTAGCCAGAAGGCCTAATGCAACCTTGGAGAACCACCAGAGAAACACAAAATGGACCTAAGATGAACTCTAATCTAAACAGCTACTTTAACAGTATAACCTCAGTACTGCACTTCAATTTTAGCACATCTCTTGGTTTGAAACCCAAGACCTGGGGCAGAAGTGAGCTTGTACTGTTACCAATTGAGTAATCCCGACACTAGTACAAGAAAATAGATGATAGTGCACAGCAAAGGATAATCAGAATGCTTTAAGTTAATACTAACTCTATATTTGTGTACCATTTATTAAGAATAGGTTTGCACTGCCACTCACCTTACAACTTCCCTCTCTGATTTCATCGGCAGAGCTGACATCTCCACTAGCTTTGTGAGAACTTCAAAGAAGAGAGTCTCTACGCTAGAAGGGTCACGTATTATGCTCTCTTTGGGCCGAACTGAGGAGAAAATACAGAAGATCAGTTTAAAGGGCATACCACAGACTATCTCCACCGTAAACATTTCACCCAAAGAGGTATATTAAAACAAAATTTAATATTACCCAGAAGTTTAATTAACATAAACCAAAGAATGTTACACTGCCTGGGTGCCAATTGCCAAAGAAGATGCAAATTCTAGAAGTTTTCCTGAAAGGAAAAAGAAAAATTACTTTGGCAGTCTGGTTGAATTGCTGGCTTGGAAATCTTAGACTTGTCTGATGAACTAAAAAACTGTATGTTTACAGTATTTAAGTTTTCCCTTCCAAGGTCTGAAGAGAAGGTCAGGTCCGGGTGTGACACTGCACCCCATATTCTTCACTGTGATGTGATTATGATAGGATTATGACATAATTATGATGTATTTTATGCAAGGTAAGTCATGTGAGGTGTCACTGGAAAAGTTAATTTGATTCATATGATTATCCTATTTGTATGCATGTATCATTTTTGTATCTGAAGCTATGAATACTGACTACGTACCTGTATTTCAAATGTAGTTACACCTGTTAGCAGGGCCGTCCCTAGGGGGGTGCGGGGCCAGGGACAACCAACAGTCCCAATCCAGCCCAGGCCCCACCCTCACTCCACCCCTTCCCCCAGAGCTCCGCCCTACCTCTTCCTGCCCCTGCTCCACCCCCAATTCCACCCCTTCCCCCAAACCCCCTCCCCTGAGCGACACCAGGAGCAAGCAGAGCGGAGTGGGCTGGGCCCCCCGCTAACTCCCCAGGCTGCCCAGGACCCCACTTCCCAAGGTGCAGGGCCTCCCAAAGCGCAGGGCCTGGGGCGGTTGCCCCGGTCCGTCCTATGGACAGGACAGCTCTGCCTGTAACACCCACTAGACAAGGTACTTACAGTCTAGACAGTGGGTGGGGAAGGGCCTATTCAGGGTAATGGGCCATTGGGGGAAAAAAAAAAAAAAAAAAAAAAGAGGCCTTAGGACAGGGGTGGCCAACCTGTGGCTCCGGAGCCACGAGGCTCTTCAGAAATTAATATGTGGCTCCTTGTATAGGCACCGATTCTGGAAAGTTGGTGCCTGTAGCTGCAGCCCCAATGTGCCAAGGGGTGCTCACTGCTCAACCCCTGGCTCTGCCAGAGGCTCTGCCCCAACCCCTTCGCACGCCCTTCCCTGAGCCTACTATGCCCTTGCTCCTCCCCACCCCCCTCTAAGCCTCCTGCAGCCCTCGAAACAGCTGATCAGGAGGTGCGGGGAGGGATGGGGAGGTGCTCATTGGTGGGGCTGCTGGTGGGCAGGAGGCGCTGGGAGAGGAGGGGAGCTGCTGACATATTACTGCGGCTCTTTGGCAATGTACACTGGTAAATTCTGGCTCCTTCTCTGGCTCAGGTTGGCCACCCCTGCCTTAGGAGAAGTTTATCTCCCACCTGGGAAGCCTTCCTGAGAACACTACAGACAGCCTCCAAGTAATGGCTGCTATGATGCTACAAGGACATGATGATGACCACATGATGCTGGACTCCATCTTGAGATGTCAGTATTTTTCCCACAGACTGGTCTGGGAACGAAGCTTTGAAAAGAAAAGGGTTCCTGCCATATGCAAAAACTATGTAAGGGAAGGAGTGTCATCATCTGGTGTTCTTCACTCCCCACCGAAGAAGACTCCCGGAAACAGCTGAGGAACAAAGATTGAACTGGGGGAAGTGCTGGACCTAGGCTAAAGGGATTTCTAGCCTGTGAATGAAACACCTGGGGATTCCAAGCTGTAAAGCAAGTGCAGCTTGCCCCTTAAGAATCTGCAGCCTTCCTGTATCATCTCTTAGGGTGAGAAGCTGCATTCATATCCAATCTATTTAGTATATTAAGTTTAGTTTGAGTTTTTTATTTGCTAGGTAATCTGCTTTGATCTGTTTTCTATCACTTCAAATCGATCTTTTGTCATTAATAAACTTGTTTTTGCTTTATCTAAACCAGTGAGTTGGAGTGAAGTGTGTGGGAATCATAACTCAGGGGCAAAGGGTGTTTCATATTCCTCTCCACATTGAGGGAGGGGACGAATTTTATGAGCTTATGCTGTTCCCCGTGCAACACAAGATGGTAGAATTTTGGGTTTAAATTCTGGAGGGGGTGCACATCTGGGGAGCTGGGAGTTGCCTTAACTGTGGCCTTCCAATGCAGGGGCTGGTCAGAGAGTTTGCATGTAACTGCAACTGGGTGTGTCCCTACCTGTATGTATGCTAGTGAAAGTGCAGCCTGGAGGACTCTGCAGCTTGTCACAGCAGTACAGTGGGAGGAGGAGCCCAGGCTGGTGGGTCGAGGGCTCAGTGGTATCCCAGTTCCAGGTAGCACCCCAGGGGGAACTCGTCACACCGGGCTCTAACCTTACAACAGGAAACTAGCCTCACTTCAAAGCACATTATTATGAGAAAAACCCATTTTTGTTATGGAAAAGGTTATTGTTTACAATTCCAAATAATTTATGTGCAGCATTCCTGTATACACATAAGTTCCATTATAGTAATTTCTCTTTTTGCTGTTATTTCTTGAAGCCTGGTTCAATTTCCCTTTCTTATTTTTGTAAATTTGTATGTAGTCCATTACTAGTATTAGACTCAGTAAATAAATATTATATTTTAATCTGTTTTCTCCTGCCTTGTGAAGGCTTCTTTATTTTAAATAACAGTAAAGATACACAGAGAGGGAAAGAGTACCGCGTGACTACCTTTGAAGCATGCTACTCAATATTCAAGGAAGGATCCAATGAGAATACCATTCTTGGTTAAATTGAACACTTAAAATACAGACTAATTTGGTGGCAGCAAAATCCTGGGCAATATATAAGTAGAAAGAAATGCACAAGTATTTCCCCTTAACTTCTTATTTCCATTCTTTTAAGGTTTGGGTGGATGAAGTGTATCCTGCCATAATCTTAACGGACACTAATGTAGTTTTCATTTGATAACCTTCTGGGTTTTTTATATAGTTCTAGTGTTCCTTAAAGCATAGCTTCCCAGTGTCAGGGAGAAGAGTTGTCCCTGCCTGGGGATCAGACAGAAACTACACTGCTGAAGTTGCTCCTTACTATGTTGACTCTTCTGAAGAGTGTGGGAGGCTGTGATATGCCTCAAAATCTTTGCATTTTATCCTCACTTAAAAAGTTACAGAAAGTACATCAAGAGTAATTCTTCACATTTTAGCAAGTGGTGACAAACTGTCGTCTGGAGGGAACTTTCATGAAGTAGTCTGTATCACCACCCACTTCCTCAAACACTCAGATTCTTATGGACTTCTGGAAATTGGATAGTCCGGAGCAACTGCAGCAGCAGGGTGTGTGCCTGCATCATATCAGCAGGTCTGTGTGTTGTGCTCCCCCCTTCTCTCCCATCAGTATGAAGGATGCATCTCAACCTACAAATATGTCAAATGTGGGACATCTGCAAGTGCAATAGACACCATCAGAGTTAATATTGGGGCACCGAAACAGTGACCTCTCAGCTAAAAGACTGACAGGTTTCAGAGTAGCAGCCACATTAGTCTGTATTCGCAAAAAGAAAAGGAGTACTTGTGGCAGCTTAGAGACTAACCAATTTATTTAAGCATAAGCGTTCGTGAGCTACAGCTCACTTCATTGGATGCATTCAGTGGAAAATACAATGAGGAGATTTATATACACACAGAACATGAAAAAAGGGTGTTATCATACACACTGTAAGGAGAGTGATCACTTAAGATGAGCTATTATCAGTGGGGGGGAGGGGGGAGAAAACCTTTTGTAGAGATAATCAAGGTGGGCCATTTCCAGCAGTTAACAGGAACGTCTGAGGAAAAGTGGGAGGTGGGGGGGGGGGGGAATAAACATGGGGAAATAGTTTTACTTTGTGTAATGACCCATCCACTCCCAGTCTCTATTCAAGCCTAAATTAAAAGACTGAGTCTTTATAGCTCGTGCTAAAGAGTCAGACTCTCAAGCTGAGAGCTGTCACACACTCACATCCTCTGCAGACCGGGCACAAAAAGGGGACACTTAACACACACTGACAGGTGAATTATACAAATAAGTGGGTGACAAGTGACTGAAACGTGGAAGTATTTTGGAAATTCACACCAGAATATTCTAGATTATCACAATTTTTAAGTACAAAACTTGTTCTAAAAAGAGGTCTTTTCAGTGTGGGAATCACATGCAACCGTAACATTTCCCCACACAGGTGAGTAACAAGGTCTGAATCCCTTGACCTCCTGACATTAGCTGTTCATAGGTTCTCCTTGACATGCTAGTAGTCTCTCACTATATCTCACTCGTCCTTTCAGATTCTTGGGTTGGAGCTACTAGGAACCACTTGGTCTGGCTCCCAAGAACTTGACACCAAGATGAGCCAGCAGAATAGTTCTCTCTCTCTCTCTCTCTCTCTGGGCAGGGCCCTAGAACTCAACGTTCTGTCAAACTTACCTTACAACAATTAAAAGTTTTCAAGCTATGAACTGTATTCTCTGAATCCTAAGCTATATCACTGGATTGTCAAGATGCCAGTTTCCTATTTGACTGCTGACTAAAATTTTATATTATCTTAAAGACAAGTTTTTTTATATTACTGACTTATTAGTATTTAGAATATTCTTTATATTACTCTGAAGATTTCCTTTTATATCAATATCAGTTTCTCTAATCCACAATCTCAATTCTTCTCCTATTAACAATGAGAGTTTTGCCAGTAGAAAAAAGGAAGAAGGATCAGATTTTTTCCTCTCTTTCACTGTACAGTTCTTACCCATAGATTGAGCAAAGCGCTGGTCATCTGTCAGAACGGTTACAAAGTCTGTGAAATTCACCTGCCCATCACCTGCCAGATAAAGGACAGTTCAGCCATGGAGAAAAAAGACACGATAGACTATATAAAGTAATAAAACCATCAATTAGAAAATATCATCATCTATATTAATATGGATTTATTTTAGTTTTCTTCCACCGTTACAATGGATTTTAGCATCTCTAATTCGAATAAAAATCAAATTATTTAACCAGGTGCCTAGTTATAGAGACACAACCAATCTGATATTCCATAAACACAGAAAATAATATCAGCAGACACTCCAGAAAAAATAGAAAAAAGAGCATGGGGAAAGGAAAAATTAAAGCTAAATAGATACAGAATGGGTTCTACTCAGTTTGGGATTACGTTTTAGCATCACATATGCAAACATGGGGCCTGATCCTTTCAAGTGCTCAGCATGTCTCCAGACCAGGCCTATTATTATTATTATTAATTATTTGAATTACTGTAGTGCCTAGAAGTCTTAGTTATGGACCAGGACCCCATTGTGCCTTGTACAATCACAGAACAAAAAGACAGTCCCTGCCCCTCAAGGGACTTACAATCTACAATCTGTATTCTCACACGCACAAACCCATGCCATCCCAAGTATCTCACACTGACACATGCACACCCCCTGTATTCACATGCTCTGCCACGTTGTCCACAATACTAACCATGCACACACATGCTCCACCAATAAATACGTATTGCTATTCTGAAACCATACCATCAATATCAGCACGATTCAGTGCCTCACAGATTTCTTGATGGGTTACATTAATCCCCACACTGTGCAAAATCAGCTTCAGGCCACGCATCTTAATGCTACCCTCTGTGCTGCTGAAAACCTTGAAGACATCTTTGAATGCTGCAAACATATGTAAAGCACAGCAAGTTAGTCAGATTTTTTGGGTGTCCACTGCAATGAAACAACAAGTTTATGTACTGTACTTTCTGAAACAAATGGCTACTATTAACATTGTCTCTATCTACTCTCTTCAGCCTATCTAGCACCAGCCACCTTTTTGTCCCTTTCCAAAAATCTATTTAGGGTGCAAGGGCCTTCTCCATTATAGTCATCTGGTCCTGCCCTCCTGCATCTATCTGCATAATTGATTCTCCTTCTCACTTTAAACTAAAACTTCTTTCCTTTCTTGACTATATCTCAATTCCTTTCTTACTCTATTTTTTATTTTAAAATATTTTAAAAGCCTTTTATTTTGATTTGTAAAGCAATGTGTGATACACTTGCTCATTTTCATTCCATTACTACTAGTAACAGCCCCTTTAAATCACCAATGCAAAACAATTTTTAAAACCACGAATTTACATGCCTGAAGACTGAGCTGAAGAAGTGACTCAAGGAGGTTCTACATTACCTGCTATTTGCTTTTGAGTCAAGGGTTCTTCACGCGCTCCTGGAATATCCAGAAGACTGACGAGACCAGATAGATTTCTGCTCCTGCTGCAAGGACACATATTTAACAACATGACTTCTCCTCGCTGTCTTCCCATCCATGGGCAGACCTAGCCCTACCCAGCTTATTAGATCTAGTAAGATCACAGTCCAAGATGACAATATTAATTCAGTATGTTAATTAGAACAGTTCTAATTTGGTATCATTATTTTTAAATCTGTCTCTTTGGCACAGAGCTTTCAGGACTTCCATAGTTGTGCTAGAGCCATGAAAGGGACATGGAGTCTTGATGGGGGAACCACATATCCTAGCATTAGTCACAATGTATTTGTGTGGCTGCCCACATATACGTAAGCAGAATCTGAATGAGCTCTCCCCCAACATCTAGCAGTGAGCTGTGGAAAAAGACGTCAAACTGATCTCAATTGCACGGACACACTCATCCTGCCTAGGTGCTCAGCATGATGGGATTGCTTGCCCAAATGATCACTTGTGGCTGGTGTTGGGTCCCCAGTCTCCTTGTTATTGGGGCAGGAGTAATAAAGGGTTGTTATCCTTTTTGTGTGAACTGAGGGTAGCAGAATTGTACCTGGCATACCCCAATGAAGCGATTCAGCCTTAACTGAATGGCACTCGCTAGGCAGGGAACATGGGTTCCAAAGCCCAATGAGTTGAGAGAGGGTGGGGACAGGTACTTGTACCTGATAGCGTGGGCCCTGTTTAAGGGTCCTAGACACCATTTGATCCTTCCTCTCTCCACAGCATAATAAAATTTAGACTCATTGGATAGTCTTGTTACACACTGCAGAGCTTAAATCACAGATACCTAGGTCTAAGGCCTTGGCTACACTTGTGAGTTACAGCGTAATAAAGGAGCCCCAGGCGCACTAGCTGACTACCCATCCACACTGGCAAGGCACGTAGAGTGCTCCAACTCTGCGGCTACAGCACTGCTAGTACTCCACCTCGGCAAGTGGAATAACGTTTGCTGCGCCCCGCTGGAGGACCGCGGCGCCAGTGTGAATGAGGTGTTGCATTACTGCATTCTGATTGAACTCCAGAAACATCCCATAATCCCTTTAAGTGGCTAATCTTGTAATTGTTTTGAAATCACTGTATGAATGCAGATATGCCCTTCAAAGCTCCGTTTCTGACAGCTGGCTGCTTATCTGCTCCAGGACAAAGGAACCATTACTGAGGAATGCTGCTTGCTTTGAGTGAGTAAGAGAGAGGCGGGGGGGGGGGGATCTGCTGCCGTCTGAACTCACAAGACAGCATGCTGACACACTCTCAGCCCCCCCCTAAAAACCCATTCTCTCTCCCCCCACATACACACAACACACTCCCTGTCACACTCCACCCCACGCCCTGCATTTGAAAAGCATGTTGCAGCCACTTGTATGCTGGGATAGCTATCACAATGCATTGCTCTTTGTGGCGTTGCAAGAGCTGCTAATGTGGCCATACCAGTGTGCTTCCAGCTGAGTGTGTAAACACTCGGCAGCGTTTTCCCTGCTGCAGTCTCCGAAGGATGGTTTAACTCCCAGCGCTCTAAAACTGCAAGTGTAGCCATGCCCTTGGTATTAGACTTACTTTGGGAGAGTGTCTTTATTGCAAGAGACTGCCCAGTGTGCACCAGCAGTGAGGCTCTCCCACTAACAGCCGAAATCACTGAGAGCTGTGTTAAGTGTGTGTATGGGGGGCCCTGATGACATCTTGGTGAGTGTCAGTCGGGCAGCTGGCGGAGAGGCGTGGCAATCGGCCATTGGAGCAACAAGCGAGTGCCCGTGCAGTGCAGCGTGTAAGGTGCCTCCTTAATTCCCCACCCCCGCCTTCCACACAGGGTGGGAGGTGAACTCTGCAGATGAACCTCTGAACTCTGGGGCTGCACTGGCCAAGGACAGCAACTGTGAGTGGGGGACAGAGAAGGGACAGGCACGTTAAAGGGACTTTTGGGTTGCTGGACTTAAGACCCTGAGGGGAAAAGGACACTGCCCAACTTACTTGGGGTGGGTCTTTTGCTCATGGTTTGTGTTTTTGAACCCTAGTTGCGGTGTTTGCCCAAATCAATGCTGAGTTAATTCCCTCCTTTTATTAAAAGGTTTTGCTACACTCAGACTCTGTGCTTGCAAGACGGGAAGTATTGCCTCTTAAAAGAGCCCAGGGGTGGTGTGTAATTGTCCCAGGTCACTGGATGGGGCTCAAGCCGGTTTTGTGTTGTATTGTTGAAAAGGAACCCCTAGATACTGAACCTGGCCCTTGTTGCTGCTGGCTCCACCTGGCAGAAGGGTTTTATATAAAGGATTGGTCCTAAATAATTTAAAACAGAATATATGGCTCACAAATGTTTTCCTACATAGCTGGATAAATGGTAAAAGTATGTCACAACCAGAAACATCAAAATTGGCCAGAGATATATTAAACTCCAAATACCGGATTAAAAAAATACAGAGGAAGCTCATCTGCTAAAACAAGAAATCTATATAGCAGGTCAGGCTTTTTCTACTCACTTCTTTGTTGGTACATTCAACCCAGTATCTATCAAGAGTGACGTTTTCTCTGCATCTCTTATGTCCAGATCTGAGATGTGAACCTCAGTTTCAGTATCCAGTAGGGATGGAAGCTTCTGTTCCCCTAGTATTTCAAGATCTGAGGATTGCACTAGTGCCTCAGTTTTTAAGAATGTCAGAGGCTCTTCCACTGATGTTTCAAGATGTGAAGATTGCTCCTGAATCTCAAAATGTAACAGAGACAAAAATTCTAGTTCCCCTTCTTCCACCAGCTCTTTCTTCTCCTCTTCTTCCTCCTCCTCCTGCCCCCACAGTATGTCAGGATTTGAGCTTTGTGCATGGGCTTCAGTTTTTAATGAGGACAGAGGATCCTTCTCCACTGTTAGTATTTCAAGATTTGGGGTTTGCACATGATCCTCAGTATGTACTGGAAATTTAGGATCCTCCGCCTCCTGAAGAGACAGCAGAGCAACAGACACTTGAATCTCCACTTCCTCCTTGACTTGTCTGTCTGCTTTTTCATAGTGCTGTAATAAAGAACAAAAACTCACCAAAATTAAAATTATACTCTTTAGCCAAGAAAACTGCTGTCTCAACACAGTACCCAGTATAAACCTTCATCATGAGCCAAGTAACACTCTCCTTAGGCAGACTGCTCACTCAGCTGCTGCTACTTTATGTGGGCAACAGCTTGCCCCTGGCAAGAGTAAGGCCAAGTAAGGCCAAGAATATCTCAGAGGCAAAGATGTGGTTATGACCTAACGTCACAGGTTGGTACAGAACATCTGCTGACTAATCTTAATATAGCAGACATAGAATGAACCACTTATGGCCCTCCTTACAAAAAGATGCAGAACAATGACAGAAACAAGACTAGATGCAACTAGTATATTTTGTGCATACATTCCACTTACATACAGTTACTACTGCACATAAGCTGTTCAACTGCACTCCTGCAACACAATCTAAAACGACATTTGGAAAAATAGTAGTTCTATTGGAGGTCTGAGAGTCATAGCCAAAGGCATGATAATATATAGAAATTATACAGATATATATAGTTTTAAAATATAAAATTAGACTGTGATGCATTATTAATTATGTGACTTGTGTGCATGGTTCTTTTCCACCAACCAAGATAGGATCCCTGCCCTGAGAAGTTTTACAACAGCCATCACAAATACATCATCAGTACATCTATGATAAATTAAGTACATGAATTCAACTAAAGAGACAGTCACCTAAAAAAAAAAAAAATCACATTTGTCTGAATTGTTTTTCAAGTTAACACCAAAGACGAATATACCTAAAAGAGATTAGAAAAAAATATTTTCTTTATTTTTCAGGCTGTTCACTTTGTGAACTTGACGGCTGTGTGTGTGGGGTCAGCAGGTTTCCCTTGTTTGTTCCATTTCAGAGGAGAGAGAGGCATTTCTAAGTATAGAGGAATGTGTGACTAAAATCATAGGAAGATTCAATGGTAGGTGTAGTATAGGGAACAAGTTTTAACTCATTTTTCTGTATTGACTTGATTTCTGTTAACAATTAAATATTATAGAGAATAATAATATAATGTAACAGCAGTGTCTTCCAGTTTCAACAAACAATACCGAACCATAAAAAGCTTTGATAATATAGACCTCATTCCAATTAGTAAACTGTTTCTCCTTCAAGCCCTTCCACAACTCTGCCCATTATCACTGACCCAAACCCTTTTTCCCTGCTAGAGAAGCCTATCTCACTGCTCCCTTAGTATATTTTCCACACTGTCATCAAGTTATACTCTCCCTCCTCTCAATTCCTTCCTCAGAAATCCCACTTCTCCTCATAGTTCGTAACTGATTACTGATGTCAACAATATTGTCACCAACCCATTCCCTATTTTTGTTTTAAAAAGATACTTTAAGAAAAAACTTTTGCCTGAGTTGCCCTAGTATATTTTGTAATATCAGTCTATTATTCAAGCTGTGTCACAGGGTACGCTTAGTTTTCAGAGGAGCAGCCGTGGTAGCCTGTATCCGCAAAAAGAAAAGGAAGACTTGTGGCACCTTAGAGACTAAATTTGTTAGTCTCTAAGGTGCCACAAGTTCTCCTTTTCTCTTAGCTTTTAAGAGGGTTAAGGAACACCCTAACCTGTGCCAGGTTTAGCCCATCCTCCCATTGAGAAGGAAATGACATCAGGGTGCACAAGACAGGAGATGTGACTAGAAACCAGGCCTGTTGGGAAATATAAGGGCTGCCTAAGTTCAATCCAACCATAGGCACCCATGGAGAAAAAATGGTGGGTGCTGAACACCCACCGGCAGCCCCCCTATCAGCACCTCTTCCTCCCCCCAGGTGCCTCCTGTCCACTTGCAGGCCCAGCCAATCAGCACCTCCCCCTCCCTCCCCACGCCCACCACAGTCAGCTGTTTCACAGCACGCAGGAGGCTCTGGGGGGGAAGAGGGAGAAGCAAGGATGCGGCATACTTGAGCGAGGGGTGGAATGGGGCTGGAAGAGGTGGGGTGGGGGTGGATGGAGACAGGTGGGGGTGGAATGGGGGCAGGGCTTGGGGCAGATCCGGGGGTCAAGAACCCCCCAGCACATTGTAAATTGTGAATCCAACAGATGTTTGGGAAGAGAGCAGTGATAATTCTCCAGAGCTCCTAGACAGAAGGCCTGTTCCAGAGACTTCAGGACACATTACCTTGCTGTATAAGAATCCACAACTCAGAGGACTGCAAAGAAGAGGAACCCCGATAAAGGACTGAGAAGACTTTTGAGCCAAGAGAGAAGACTACATGGTTGCTGAAGCCCATTATAAACTAAAAGGACTGGCTTAGCCAACGAACGAGGGCTGGAAGGTTTTCTGACAATTTTATAGCATTAAATCACATCAAGAAGGGGAGCCATATTACGAAAACACCAATTGTGTTATCCTTGTATACAAATTTTAAGGAGTTCTTTAAAATGTCCCTTCACATTTCAAAAGCATTTATTTTTCATAGCATAATATATACACTTAAAACAAAAAAGAACAAATTGAGAGATCCGAATTAACAGATGCTCAGCTGTCTCCATTGCATAATTTCCCCTTCTCAGGTCCTCACAGAGGACCAGTATTGGGTTTACAATGGCGATGGGCCGACACTGGGAAGGGGCCCATTATGGACCCGTCTAACCTACCCACATGACCGGGTCTGGCCCCTCACGCGGGCCAGTCCAGTGCCTAGGCCTTGCTCCGTAAGTGGCTCCCAGCCAGCAGGTCCTGCTTCGCCTGTAGGGGGCTTGCCACCCAGCAGCCAAGCTCTGCCATGAAGGCTGCCAGTGCAGGGCTGGTGGGTGTTTCTGCCCTGGGTGGGCTCTTGGGAGTCATGTCCCAGGGGTCTGCCCTGCTCCCCAGTGCAGCACCTAGCAGTCTGCTGCCTGCCACTTGTGGGGCCTCACCCACCTCCCCAGGGCCGAGCTGCCTGGGCCTGGTGCACAGGCTGGTCTGGTCTGGTCTCGGCTGGGGCAAGTGGAAGAGAGGGATGCAGTGCAGGGAGCTTGGCCAGCCCCACCAGGCAACTGGGTCCTGCGGGAGCCTCGCCCAGACAGGCCCCACTCCTGCTTTGGCCTGGCTGATCACACTGCTCTGGAGGGTCCAGAATGAACCCCACTCCGGTACCGGCCACGCTGCCAGCTCAGCCCAGCGGATAGAGTCACCTCCCAGCTGCTGGGGGAAAAGCACAGGAGAGTGGTTTTCTGGGGGGCATGTGAGGGGTGCTGAACAGTGAGGGAGATGTGTGTTTTGGGGCGCTGTGTGTTTTGAGTCTCTGGGATTCTGTGGGGGGGTAGTTGTGGTGGTGGGGCTCTGGGGAGGGTGCTGGGCGGGCGGGGTCGGTCTGTGGACAGGGAGCCCTTGCGGGGGGGGCGGGGCTGGGCAGTGCAGTCCCGCCCCCAAGAGGAAGGGGCAAGATGCCAGTGCAGAGCTGTGTGGGCCAATGTTCGTCTGGCAGCTGCTTGTTTGTAAACAATGCCCTCATGCTCAGCTGGATGGAACAGGACTGCCCCCAATGCACCATGCTCCATTTACCCTGTCCAGCCCCTCACTCTGGGGACCAACCTCCCTCCACCGTATCCCCGTGGCATGTCCCATTGCCCCATGGGGGCCCACAAATATGTTTAGACCAGGCCCACAAAAGGTTAATCCGGCCTTTCAGAGGACTAGTGAGCCACACGAGTGTGCACTTTGTCCTCACTCTTGTACTCAGCAGAGTTTACCTGGAGAAGGTAATACAAACTGGGGCTCTATTACCTTTCCTGGAAATTCCACTCCATATCAGGAATCCCTTCCAGGGAAATCACTAGGGATGGGCCCTGTGGCCAAGTCTGCTGCATCAGAGTTGGGGTGAAACCCAACAGAAAGATTACCGAGCAACTATGAAGGAATCCTCAGAGATTTTCTCCCCATGAGCTTCCTCCTGAACTTTTTACCACAGGAAAGAATGATCCAGTCCTCAGTCTATGGGAAGTTCCCTGAGTAAGGAACTGGTAAAACCTCAGGATCTGGCTCTGTGAAGTGATCTGAAAAGCAGATTTGGCTGAATTTTTTTCAAAGGAGTTTTAGGAACTGGGCACCCAAATCTCATTGAAATTCAATGGAAGTTTGGCACTTAACTCCCTTAGGCTTCTTTGAAAATCCCAGTCTTTTTCTACATTGGCTATCTACACAGGACGGGACATAACATCCAAAAACGGCACTTCAGACTTTTTATGTTGTTACCATAGTCACCTTCACTGGGTAGGTTAAAGGCACAAGGCTACTTACTCACAGTGCACTCAACCCATGATTATGGCCCAATAATACACACCATGGCATAGTTTAATTGATTTAAAAATACATATATAGCTAAAGGTAGCACCCACTGCAGCAGGTCCTTCTGGCCATGTGATTTCCTGGTTTGATTCTTCACCTTCCTTCTTCGATTCAGCAGCCCACTCTGGATGAACTTTGTTTGAACAACATCTGCAACATGAGATATAAGAAAGAGATTGGCAGATGTCAAACTTTTACCAAAGCAGAGATAGGGCTGGTGCCTTAATAGCAGTTGGAAAACACCACGTTTACGGTGCTGGGAGTTAAGATATCCAACTACAGCATCTTAACAAAGTGCTCTTTGGAGCTATGCATGTGGCTTGATGGAAAAATACCCCAACATAAGTATTAACAAGAAAAGAGTAAAATGAAGCAATTAGGTCTCCAATATAAAAATCCGCATCCACACAGTGAGATTTTGCAACCTCCAAAAGACAATCATTTCTGAATTTCCTTCTTTAATAGCCCAGTGTTAAACTTATTTATTTGAGTCTCTAAGGTGCCACAAGTACTCCTTTTCTTTTTGCGAATACAGACTAACACGGCTGTTACTCTGAAACCAGTGTTAAACTATGCACTGCATAGTTTGGATAACATGAAAGGTAGCATTTAAAAGAAATCAGACATTTGAATCATCTACTAGCCCTGCCTAAAGTAATATAACAGGGGCAGCCAAACTTACTGACCCTCCGAGCTGCATATGACAATTTTCAGAAGTTCAAGAGCTGGGGCATGCCTGCCAGGGCTCGGGGCTTCAGCCCCCCCCAGGAAACACCTGTCAGGACTCGGGGCTTTAGCTTTTTGGGGAGGGGGGTCTCAGGTTTCAGCCTGCCTCCTGCTGAAGCCCTGAGCCCTAGCAGGCATGCCCCCCAAGGTTGAAGCTCTAAGACCCTCCTCCCTGCTGGATGGGGGGGCACATGGGGTCACATGCTCCCCCAGATTTTTGCCAGGATTTGTTGGCCCAGCTTGGTCACATCGAGCCCCCTCCTTGCACGGCAGCTGCTAGAGTTGGCAAGCTGGGAGTTGAGGACAGAGGGAGAGGCAGCTACAAACAGCGTGGAGCTGCAGGGAGAACTGCTGATGGTAAGAGGGGAGGTGTGCCTGGGGGAGGACATGACTCAAGCTGTTGGGGGGTGAACCTTTAACCTGTAACCCCCCATCCCATCATGCACCACTAACCTCTGGCAAAGAGCCCCTAGTCTCACTACCCCACCACAGGGCAGAAATTCCAAGCTTCCCCCACCTAGTCCGGTAGACAGATAATGGGGAGACCAGTGGGGCTCTGCGAGATGCACTTTAACTGTAAAAGAGCCATATGCAGCTCACAAGCTGCGGTTTGGCCACCCCAGTAATGTAATATTTAGCACTTTATAAAGCTTCTAATCTTCAAAACACTTTACAAACTGAAAAATTACACATAGGCGCCAACTGCCTGATTTCCCGGGGAGGGGAGCTCGATCCCTGCTCTGTCCCAGGCCCCGCCATCACTCCACTCCTTCCCCCAAAGCCCCACCCTTGCCCTGTCTCTTCTTGCCCCTGTTCCACCCCCTCCCCTGAGGGTACCCTATCAACAACTGGTGCCTCCCCATACTGGGGGGGCACGATCTAAATTGGAGATCATATGTCCCTGCCCAGCCAACACCTCTGCCCCCACGCCCAGCCCAGGGCCACCACGCTCTCCCCACCGCACATTACTGGGGGGGGGGGGCGGCTCTGTCCTCCCACTGTGCCTGGCCTCCCCCTCCCCCCCAGCACGTTCCTCTGCTCTCCCTGGAGGGAGACAGCCCAGGTGGGGAGCGGGAGGGAGCCGCTTCTAATGTCGGCCCCTCCAGGTCACTGCTCTGCAGCCCAGCAGCTGCCCGAAAGAGCCTGACTGTGGAGGTGGCTTCCACTCCCTGCCTGGGCTCAGCTGCTGAGGACCATGACTGAATGAGCTGAAAACGTGCTGGGGGGGAAGGGGAGCTCTGGCTCACTTGCCCCTGGTCCCCAGAAGCCAAGCCCAGGTGGGGAACGGAAGCTGCCTCCCCAGCCAGGCTCTTTCAGGCAGCTGCCAGTCGCCACACTGCAGAGCAGCATCCCAGCGGACAGAAGGAGCTAGTCCTACCCCTTCCACTCCCCGGCATCTGGGGAAGTCCCCTCTGACATCGCCCAGCCCTGACTCACCTCTTCCCGTCCCCTCCCCACACCTCTTCCTGCCTCCCAACTCCTCCCCCTCCCCACAGCGCCTCCTAGAGGCTGCTCAACAGCTGATCCTGGCCCACAGATGGGTGCTGAGCAGCCACTATTTTTTTTTTCGACGCCTATGAAATTACATAAAAACATTCACAACCAAACAGTATTCATTTTTGGCAGTCTTGGTTTTAGGATTTTCAGGGTGCACTGAATTGATGCGTTTAGGCTTGCAGACCCCCATAAATCCACAGTATAGCTTTCCAAAGTTATCATCCTCACTTTCAAAATTCTCCATAACTCCACACCAGCCTATATCAACTCTTATATCCATTCCTACTCTTTTCTCTCTACCTAAATATGCTTTTTTCTACCTGTCCCCTACGCTGAAAATTAATTCCAGTTATAATGAGTAGGGCTCCGTGTATGTCATGGAGGTTGTGGAAGTCACGGATTCCGTGACTTTCCACTACCTCTGTGACTTCTGCAGCGGCCAGTGTGGCTGACCCCGGGGCCAGCTGCTCAGGTGGCCCCAGGGACAGCGACACCGGCCACTGCTGGAGCAGCTCTGCAGCCAGCCGCACTCACTGCTGCTTGGACAGCCCTGGGAAGCTGGCCTGGGGACCGCCTGAGCAGCAGCCAGTGCAGCTGACCCCGGGAACCGTTGGTGCTGCTTGCCCCGGACACTCCCCTTCCCAGTAGCAGCCCCCGACAAGGGTATTTATAGTATAAATCAAGGACAGGTAACGGGCTGTGAATTTTTGTTTATTGTCCATAACCTGTCCGTGACTTTTTACTAAAAATACCCAGGATTAAATCGTAGCTTTTATAGTGACCATATGACATCTTGTGCTTATATTTTGTATTGACCTGTATTTTATCACCTCATTGCTTTAGACTACAAACTCTCCATCTTCATTACTGCATCCTGTCTGTCTGCTACCCACACAGTGTCTTACATACAGAAGTGGCAAATTCTTTAGAAGCAAAAATATGGCTTACCTTAGAACAGATTCATTGTCCTGTGGAGGGCCAACACAGCAGAAGAACAAGCTCCATCTCCCTGTAAATGGAATAGCACAAGATTAAGTGATAGTCAAAATGTCCACAAGATGACAGCCAGGGAATAATGTTTCAGCTTTGTTTGTGTGTGACTGGGCAATAGATGGCTTCCAAAGACACCAAGAGACCCATAATACTATTGCCAACTAAAGCATGGCTTCTTTAGGACAAGGAGTAGGGGCCTTTGGTTTTAGAGCTAAAAGATCACGGCTCTGATTCTGGCTTTCTAGAGGTATGCATGTGGTTTATATCATAATGGTATCTGTTGTCTGCATAGTACGTTTACATTACAAAGGGTTTTTGCCTTTAACTTTATTCATGTCAGGGACTCCAGGAAGATATACATTAAGCATGGAAAAGGTAGAGTCAACCCCTGGGTTTAACTGAGCTCTAAGAATCTAATCACAAACTGGGATTTGCCAACTATTTCCACATGCAGATTGTCAAACAACTCCCCTGACTCCCCATTTATTTCAGGGTCACCTCTAAACTGTTCCCCTTAAAGTCTTCCATGGACTTGCTTCACTGTAACTCACAGACCTCATCACTTGTGTTCTCTACACTCCTGAACAATAGGAGGGAGTGAATGGAAAGGTGTAGCAGAGTGAAGGGATGTGACTGGGAAGCAGGGGGAAGTGTGCAGGAAGGTGATGGGGTGTAATTGAAGAGACAGAAGGACAAGGTAGTTGAGTGGGCAGGAGGAAGGGGCGATTGAGGATAAAGTGTGAAGGCTAAGAGGTCATAAAATATCAGGGTTCAAAGGGACCTCAGAAGGTCATCTAGTCCAAAGCAGGACCAATCCCCAATTTTTGCCTCAGATCCCTAAATGGCTCCCTCAAGGATTGAACTCACAGCCCTGGGTTTAGCAGGCCAATGCTCAAACCACTGAGCTATCTGTCCCCAGGGACTAAGAACAAGGCATTTGGGGATTTCTGAGGAAGACAGGGTGTAGGTGACGGTGTGGTTTTCAAGGCATGTAACTGAAAATGGGGTGTAGGGACAGGAGAACAGCATGTGGGGACAAGGTGACTGAAGACAAGGTGCGGGGGCAGGGGGCAAGAGCACTGGGTGATTCAGGACAAGGTGTGGGGGTAGAGGAAAGCAGTAACTGAGAAAATCGGGGGGGGGGGGTGCACGGGGTAATTGAGGAGCACAGGGTAAGGACACGGGAGGGAGGGAGGTCTGGGTGGGGGCAGCGGCCCCTGAATAGCGCAGGGTGTCAGTGCATGGATTACGCAGCAGCACCGGGCGGGGGGCCTGGGGGGGGCAGCAGGAGGGAGCGAGCGCGACAGGGGTGGTGGAAGGCGGGGGAGGTGTCTGTGTGGGGGCGGGAGGGGCTGAGGAGTACGGGGAGGCCACGGGAAGGGAGGGACGGGCGCCTTCCCGCCTCTTTGCCCTGCTCTCTCCCTCACCCTCTAGCGCCCCTGGCCCGCCGCCGCTCTCACCTGCGCTCCCCATGGCGCCTCCACTCCTAGCCGGCGCCGCATCCCGGAGCCCGCCCCAGCGCCGACCGCGCGCTACGTCAAGAAGAGAAACTGTGACCGAGCTTCGACAAGCGCTGACGTTGCAAAAACCCGCCACGCGCCGGCGGACGCATTTCTGCGCGTGCGCCACCGGCCCGGCACTGACTCCGCCCCCGCCCCTCCCTGCCTGCGGGCACCGCCCAGCTCCGCCCCGGGGCGAAGAGGAGGCGCACAGCAGCACGTGGCAGCGTTTGTCCGTAACCAGCGGGGCGGAGCGCAGCGGGACCGGGGGGAAAGCTGGGGGAGGGGGCTCGCCCTGAGAGAGTAACCGCAGCTCCGCGCGTCTTCTGCCCCTTCTAGCAGCCGGTCGGTCACCCTGGTTGTTCCACGCCCGGAGCTGGTTTAGACCATAGTATGCGGTAATGACCCACATTCTCTCCGGGTGACTGTCACTAACAGCACCAGCGGCAGCAGGTGTACCTGCAAAGATCGGTAACCGTCCAGAATAAAACAGAGGCACTGAATTTGTTCGCTGTGATGGTGGCTTTACTGGCGGCATCGTTTACCTAGGCAATAAAATCAGGTTAGAGGGTGGTTGTTTTTTTAAAGGTTTAAAAGTGTGGAAATTATTAGGAAAGTGTGTCTGGCTGTGCTGTAGCAATTGGCAGTGCTTGGCTGACAGAGTTTTTTGGGGGAAAACAAGCATTTGAAGATCTGGATACTCCAGACATGCTGCTTTGGATTAGATGTTCCAAAGTCTGAAACATGCTATTGATTGTCTAATAAATTAGCTGAGGTACTTGAGATGAACTGTAGCTAGTAACAACTATATGCTTTGTTTTGCTGTTTATTTCTTTCAATAAACTGGTGTTTTGAGGTTTGTTTTAAAGAAGGTGTCTTTGATGGGTAGTAAAGTTAAATACCCCCCCCGGTAGTCTGGAGAAGAAAGTGCAAGTTTGTATGTTTGATGTATGTAGTGTGTTGAGATGCAGCGGCCTGTAACAGGTTGTATATATGCTGCTGTGCTCAGCCAGACACGGACTTGCTATTGGAAAAGGGAAAATGTAGATGTTCATTTCTGCTTTCCAGTAATCAGTGTTCTAAGGCTCACAAAAAAGCTGTATCCATCATAGGAAGGTGTGTTGGAGGAATTAATAAAAGGGGCAGAAGATAGAGGAATTCTATTCTGTGACACCCTACAGAAACTCAAGGCATGGCTACACTTGCGAGTTAGAGCGCATTAAAGCAGCCCCGGACGCCCTGACTCACGACACGTCCACACTGGCAAGGCACGTAGAGTGCCCGGATTCCACAGCTAGAGCGCTCCTGGTAATCCACCTCGGCGAGTAGAATAATATTTGATGTGCCCCCGCTGGAGCGTCACAGCGCCAGTGTGGACGCCCTAGTCTGTTAATGCGCTCTGATCGGTCTCCAGAAGTGTCCCACAATGCCTGTTCTAGCCACTCTGGTTATCACTTTGAACTCTAGTGCCTTGCCCTCAGATGACCATCTGTCAGACCTGCCCTTTAAATTCTCTGGGAATTTTGAAAATCCCCTTCCTGTTTGCTCAGCCAGGCATGGAATGCTCTCAGCGAATCTTTCCAGGTGACCATGCCTTCATGTGCCAGGCGATCCCCAGTGTGGAGCAATGGCGAGGTGCTGGACCTCATCAGTGTTTGGAGGGAGGAAGCTGTCCAGTCCCAGCTGTGCTCCAGCTATAGGAATTATGATACCTTTGGGCAGATACCAAGAGACATGATGGAAAGGGGCTATGACTGGGACACACAGCAGTGCGGAGTTAAAGTGAAGGAGCTGCAGAATGCCTACCGCAAAGCCCGCAAGGCAAACAGCCGCTCTGGTGGTGCATCCGCAACCTGCCGTTTCTACAAAGAGCTAGACGCGATACTTGGGAGCGACCCTACCTCCACTCCGAGGACCACCATGGACACTTCAGAGCCCAGTTCAACAAGGCAGGGGGAGGAGGAGGAAGAAGACACCCCGGAATCCCTAGACGCATGCAGCCAGGAGCTGTTCTCAAGCCAGGAGGAAGGTAGTCAGTCACGGCAGCCAGTGCTTGGGGAAGGACAAACACCAGAGGAGGTTCCCAGTAAACAGCTTTTATTTTGGGAAGGAAGTTATTCGGTGTGGGCTCTTGAGGCGAGGAGAGTTAGGGCTGCATGCATGCATAGATGAGGAATAGGGTGCTGATGTGCTCTCTCACATCACGGTAGTCAGCCTCAGTGATCTCTTCAAAGGTCTCATCCAGAAGTTGGGCAATGCGCTTACGCAGGTTTCTTGGGAGAGCCACTGTGGTCCTTGTCCCAGTCAGGCTAACATGTCCGCGCCACTATGCTCTGAGGGGCGGGGGGACCATTGCTGCACACAGGCAAGATGCATATGGGCCAGGGCAGAAGCCGCATTGTAGTAGAAGACCCTCCCTTGCTTCCCAGGTCACCCTCAGCAGTGAGATATCTTCCAGGATGAACTCCTGTGGAAAATGTGAGGAGAGTGTTCAGTACAGGGGCCCCCTGCAGCTGTTGGCTCTTCCCAAGGCACAGAAACCCAGAAGACAGTATGGCCATGAAACAATCAATCCCCCTTGACCCTGTACTTACTCACCATTTTGGGATTCCCGTGGGTTATGTGTGCTCGCTTTGGGACGGGCAAATTCTGCTATTGTGTAGAGACTGTGCTTGCCCTTAAGTATGGAGAAATCATTGCTCTGTCTGGTGTGAACAATGCTGCCTCTGTTAAGTGTTGCATTTTGCCTTTACAGATGCAACCTTGAGATCTGAGCTGTCTGTGTTATCATGGGCCGAGAGACTGCAAAGACTCAGGAAGAGGCCACGAAAAAGCAAAGAAGACATGCTGCAAGAAGTGATGCAGCAATCTCCTAAAGAGAATCAAAAAGTGCAGGAGTGGAGGGAGAGCAAAAGCAGGATCCGCCAGGAAAACGCAGTGCACCGACAGCAAAGCACGGAGCTCCGGCAGCAAAGCACGGATTGGCTGATAAGCATCATGGAGCGCCAAGCGGACTCGATCCAGACGCTGGAAGCCATACAGGCGGAGTGCTACCATGCCCATCGCCCCCTGCAGCCCTTGTCCCAAAACTCTTTGCCTTGTGTCCCCATGTCATCTCCAACCCACTTTCCCCAACATCCGGGTTCTTATCACCACCAGCTGCCTCCAGTACCTGTAGCTTCACCACCCAGCTCTGAAAACTACGACCCTTACCCACTGCGCTCAGCCCCCCTCACCATGCATTATAACCATCCTGAAGTGCAGCACTCATTGCATAGCACTCCAGACAGGAAGGCTGAATATGATAACAGGACAGATGCAAATCTGTCATAGTACCGTTTTCCACCCCACCCCCTGCCCTTTCTGTTTCCCAAGCAGTTGTGTTTCTTTTAAATAAATGGGTTTTTTTGGCTTTGAAAACATTCTTTATTATTGTATAAAGTAAAAGATACCTCAGCCCAGGAAAGCAACAGGCATTGCAAGTCAACATAGCGAACACGGATTCCTACTAACATTGGAACCACTGCACTTCACTCCCATGCAGGGCAGCAAACATTACTGATGGCTTTCAGCCTCAAATGGCTCCCTCAAGGTATCCCTAATCCTTGCAGCCCCGCGCTGGGCCCCTCTAATAGCCCTGCTCTCTGGCTGTTCAGATTCAGCCTCCAGGTGTTGAACCTCCAAGTTCCATGCCTCAGTGAATCTTTCACCCTTCCCTTCACAAATGTTATGGCAGGTACAGCACGCGAATATAACCCTGGGGATGTTGTCATAGGCCAGGTCCAGCTTCCCATACAGAGAGCGCCAAAGCAGCCCTTTAAACAGCCAAAAGCACACTCCATGATCATTCTGCACCTGTTGTTGAATTGCTTCTTGCTGCTGTCAAGGCTCCCTGTGTAGGGTTTCATGAGCCAAGGCATTAAAGGGTAAGAGGGGTCTAAACGATCACAGTGGGCATTTTGACTTCCCCTATGGTAATCTTCTGGTCTGGGAAAAAAGTCCCGGCTTGCATCTTCCTGAACAGGACAGTGTTCCGAAAGATGAGTGCGTCATGCACCTTTCCGGGACACCCTGCATTAATGTCAATGAAACGCCCTCGGTGATCCACAAGCGCCTGCAGAACCATAGAGAAATACCTTTTCCAATTAACGTACTTGGAGGCTTGGTGGGCTGGTGCCAGAATTGGCATATGCGTCCCATCTATCGCCCCTCCGCAGTTAGGGGAACCCATTTGTGCAAAGCCAGCCACATCGTCATGCACATTACCCAGAGTCATGGTTCTTCTGAGCAGGATGTGATTAATGGCCCTGCAAACTTGCATCAATATGATTCCAACGGTCGACTTTCCCCCCCCAAAACTAGTTAGCGACCAATCAGAAGCTGTCAAGTTGCCAGCTTCCAGATTGCAAGAGCCACCTGCTGCTCCACCGTCAGGGCAGCTCTCAATCTCATGTTCTTGCACCACAGGGTTGGGGCGAGCTCCTCACACAGTCCCATGAAAGTGGCTTTTCTCATCCAAAAGTTCTGCAGCCACTGCTCATCATCCCAGACTTGCATGACGATGTGATCCCACCACTCAGTGCTTGTTTCCAGAGCCCAAAAGTGGTGTTCCACGATGGTGAGCATGTCCGTGAATGCCACAAGCAATCTCGTGTCGCATGCGTTACTTGAGTCGATATTGTTGGAGTCCTCATTGACAGTTTGGATCTTAAGGAGTAACTTGACTGCCAAACGTGATGTGCTGGCGAGACTTATCAGCATATTCCTCAGCAGTTCGGGCTCCATTTCCGCAGACTGAAAGGGAAGACAGAGCGCACAGTACAAAAAATGTTGAAAGATGGTGACAAATGTGGACGGAAAAACAGGGATTGCTGGGATGCAAACCGATGCATCATGGGGTGTTGGGACAGGTCCCAGAATGCCCCGCACCCTCCACCCCCTTCCCACAAGCCACAGCACCAGAATGGGAAGAGGTGCTCTGTGGGATCGCTGCCCATAATGCACCTCTCCCAATGCCACTGCAAATGCCTCAAATGTGGCCACGTCAGTGCGCTTGCAGCTGTCAGTGTGGACAGACTGCAGAGCTTTCCCTACTGCGCTTTCCGAAGGCTGGTTTAACTCAAAGCGCTCTACATCTGCAAGTGTAGCCATGCCCATAAGTTGCCAGACAGTCAGTGTGGGCTCTCCAGCCATAAGTTGTTAGGAAGTAGGGATAACAGAGGTGGCATGGGTGTGTTGTTGTTTCAGAGTAGGGAAAAACAGTAGAGAAAAAAATCTGTATGAGAGGGAGAGTTGGTTTGTGAGGTTTTAAAGCCTGTCAGAAAGGGGGTGGATTAAAACTCTAGCCCAATACTGTGACAAACTTTACTTATTTTCCTCCAAAGGGAAATAGGTTCCCTTGTTTTTTTTCTGAATGAAAGGAGTAAGAAAAAAGATTTATAGCTCTAGAATCAAAGTTCTTGCTTTTCTTCTGTTTTATGAGAAGAAAAGAAATACTCTGTAGATATTCCTTTTGATAAGGTCAAGTTGTTCAAGAGCATGCCCTGAAAACTGGAAGGAACACTGCTTTCCTTGTTATTAAATTTGGAGTGGCTTGCATAATAAAGATTTCAGGGGGGAAAACCATGCACACCCATATCTTTGGCTTCCTTTCAGTAATTACTGATCATTTGGCGAATGTCTTATAATAAAAACTGCAAATAAGTAAATAATAAAGTTACAAAGGGGGGGAAGCATGAGGCTATATTGGTTGTGTATATGCTGGAAAATGTATCACAAGCTGCCAGCTCTGAGTTGCTGTTTTGCTGGAGGGTGAGTGGAAAGTATGGCTGAGCAGGAAACAAAGCAAATGATTGGAATGATTATCAGAAATAGTTGGATAGTACCTACCCCAGGACAGGCCCAACAAAGAAAGTAACAGAACACCACTAGCCGTCACCTTCAGCCCCCAATTTAAAACTCTCCAGTGCATCATCAAGCATCTACAACCTATCCTGAAGGACGATCTCTCACTTTCACAGATCTTGGGAGAGAGGCCAGTCCTCACTTACCAACAGCCCTCCAGCCTGAAGCGAATACTCACCAGCAACCACACAACAAAAACACTAACCCAGGAACCTATCCTCGCAACAAAGCCCATTGCCAACTCTGTTCACATATCTATTGAAGGGACACCATCATAGGACCTAATCACATCAGCCACACCATATGAGGCTCATTCACCTGCACATCTACCAATGTGATATATGCCATCTTGTGCCAACAATGCCTCTCTGCTACGTACATTGGCCAAACCAGACAATCTCTATGCAAAAGAATAAATGGACACAAATCAGACATCAAGAATTATAACCTTCAAAAACCAGTCAGAGAACACTTCAACCTCCCTGGTCACTCAATTTCAGACCTAAAAGTTGCAATTCTCCAACAAAAAAACTTCAAAAACAGACTCCAGTGAGAAACTGCAGAATTGGAATTAATTTTGCAAACTGGACACCATTAAATTAGGCTTGAATAAAGACTGGGAGTGGATGGGTCATTACGCAAAGTAAAAAGTATTTCCCCATGCTAATTTTTCCCCCCTACTGTTACTCACACCTTCCTGTCAACTGTTTGAAATGGGCCATCCTGATTATCAATACAAAGGTGGTTGTTTTTTTTCCCTCCTGCTGATAATAGCCCACCTCAATTAATTGGTCTTGTTACAGTTGGTATGGCAACACCCATTTTTTCATGTTCTCTGTGTATATATATATATCTTCCTACTGTATTTTCCACTGCATGCATCTGATGAAGTGGGTTTTAGCCCACGAAAGCTTATGCCCAAATAAATTTGTTAGTCTCTAAGGTGCCACAAGTACTTCTCATTTTTAAAAAGATTTACAGACCAACTATATTTTAAAAATGGAGGGATATACACTGACTGAAACCTATAACCTAAAATTTAGTACAGCTAAATGGGTAGACTTGATAGTATTTACTTATTAGGTAATATGCTACATATATAAAATCTAATTTCACTTCAGATTTTTCACACATCTGGGGTTAGGCACATATTTGTGCCTGTTTAGTCACATACTACTCATTGAAGGCAATGGGACTCCTTATATGAGTCATCTTACTCCTGTTTGCAAGATCAGGCACTTAGTAATCTGTGGAACATGCTATACAACTGGAAATGTTCACTATAAGTTTATATTTTTTAATGCAAATTTAAAATCTGTGAACACTTTCAGTGCTAGTTAGGTTACCCTTCTGCATCTTCTGGGATTGTTCCCCTCACTGGGCAGTTTTTGAGAGGCAGACAACCAGCGTGAAACTAAGTAAGTACAAATGCATGTCCAAGCCCTGCTGCCTGAGAAAACTTGAAATTATTTCTATAATATGTAGTGTATTACACATTGAATAAATGTCAAGACCTGAGTAGAACACACTGAATCAAATGGAAGAGGGAGCAACAAGCAATCATTTACTGGGAGACAATCTGTGGAGACGCGTGAGGAGAGTATCATATATGGAGTAAATTAGGGGGACAAGGGATCCCCCCGTAGGAGGTTAAAATGGGGAGATACCCCTGTAGCTGCAAGAATGGTCTTCTTTCTTCCCCTGAATGTATTGGGGAACGGTACTGGACCTCCTCCAAAAAGACAACTGGACAACTACAGGTAAAAGGTAGCCTGGTGTGGAGAAAGGTTGTGTAGAGAGGAACAATGGTGTGGCCTTGTGAAGTCTTCCATTGGTTCAGATAAGGATGCAACCATCTGAATGTTTTCATGATTAAGGTTCTGATCTGTAACTCAGGATACTTGAGTTCAGCTCCCAGCTTGACCACAGACTTCTTGGGTAGACTAATTAACATTTCTCTGCCTTAGTTCCCCATCTGTAAAATGGGGCAATAATGCTTCCTTTCTTTCACACTTATATCTCTTTAGGCACTGGTCCTGTATGTGATTTCAATGGGGCTGTGCACAGGTGCAGCAGTGCACCTATATGTGTTCACTCACAGGACTTGGGTCTTGGACTTTAAAATCTCCAGGGCAGAGTCTGCCAGAATGGGACCCTCATCTCTCTTAGGGCCTTTAGGCACTATTGTAATACAAATAACATTATAATGCTTTTTCAACTTTTTTGAGGCTATCACTATTTTGAATTTTTATACAAAATCATATGGGGCAGGAGTCAGGGAGAGAGAAGTGTAATACAGTAGAACCTCAGAGTTACAGACACGTCGGGAATGCATGTTGTCCATAACTCTGAAATGTTTGTAACTCTGAACAAAATGCAGCTAAGGATCCAGCAGTTCACACTCTGGGCTAGGTTCCAGAGGCAGCTAGGCAACTTCCTTGCAGGCAAGGTTGTCCCACTCCTCACCCAGGGTGGTGGT